CACCACAATAACCTTAACGTCTCTCACGCTTTTGCTTAAATCACAGGGACAAAACGGATCAGTGTCTGGTCCATCTAGTGATGACACACGCGTCCAAGTGGTCGATAAGACAGAACGCATGTACAAACAATAAATAAGTCTGAGTTCTCCTATTAGGAAATATCGTAATAACAAGTCATCAGGCGGACTTGACCAAAGCCATGTGACGTAATTATAGTCCAAACTGATGGCATTTTGTGAAGGCGTTTTAATCACAACCTAGAGGGCACCCGGATGAATGCAAAATCAACTGAACTATCAGTTTGGCTTGGTGTTGACAAAATTGGGGCACTGATGCCTCCTTTGACCCAGGCTTGGAGGAGATAAGTGAGCCACCGGAAAATCATGAGATACAAGAAATTACAATACTGTTACTCGTATTTATCTGCGCACCCTAGAATTTGCACACGACAACAATGCATTGGTCCGTGTTTGCCAATGCCTTCTCGCGGGAACAACGATCATTCGATAAATAGAGATCAATCTATCTTTCTGAATTGAGTCGACTTGTTTACCAGCTGTTGGGTCATACAGAAGATCTCCTCTGATCAGGGAAAACAAGTCGTCATCAAAAAACGTATACCGTTCAACCCATGACGGGTTGAAAGATAATGAATTAACACTTTTCAGGACACGATTGTGAGATCTGACAAATTAAATTGATTGTCAGTCACAAACATGAGATAAGTTATATGGTTCTCGTAAGCGAAATCGGGAATTTGTTGAGGTTATCGGTCAGATAGTACCTAACAGAAACGAAAACGAATCTCAGTGATCAAATAAACAATTTAAAATTACCAGAGCACATTTGTAATTGAAGCATACTCACTGTCAGTTGAATCACTAGCTGATCAACAAACACGCCGACAAACAACAAACTACTACCGTTGACTTGACGCTTTAATGTTCGTATACGTCGACGTCTCTTTCTAGCAGCAGCAGTGTACTCTTCTGATCTGTTTATTTCACTAGCTTCGATCAACCGATTTGTACTGCTACCACCAACTTCCACCGAGCTAATGTCTGGTTCAATTACATCCAAATAGCCCGAAATACGGGGAAAACCAGAGACGAGTTGTTTCTCGGCCTCTTCATAGACAAGATAAAACAGTTCTGCAGCCGACCGTCTGGGACTCCGAGTTTGATCTGGGCTAACTGGTTCGTCTGCTTCGTCTTCACTCGATTCGGTATTCGGTGGCAACAAGCTGGGTACAAAAGACCACACCCATGATGCCCACGAGCCTTGTGTTTGTGTGTCTGCTCGGTTATCTAGCTCTTCTGATGAGTATGCACTATTCAAACCAGGTTGATCAATTCCCTTTGAGTCTACATCTGGTGTAATAGTTTCCGATATCTGGTCGGCTGTGTTCCGATTCGAGGATGGACCAACCATTGACCAGTCCACAGTCTCTGTGTGAATTGCAATAAAAACGTCCAACAGGCGAATCAAAGCATGTATCTGAGCCGGACTGAGACGAAACTCCATCTTCTCCGTGTGCACGTCCAAAGTGGTTACCAGGGCCGTAGTCGGTGCAGATAATTTCGAATCAGTCGAAAAAACCAATTCAATCAGACAGGAGAGATGAAATCGATAGACAATCGGTTCCTCATACACGTCCACAAATCCACTGGGACCGGCATGATCTAAACACAGTGTGATGTCAAATATTTGCAATTTTCTATGAGTCATGTAATTGTGACTGGACTGATCAAACTGATAATTTGGTTGCCAATCCGCATCCGTGGGGAAAAATTCGGCCCGATTACTGCTCATAGATAAAACAATATCGTCTTGAATAAATTTCACATTTAGATTTTGTACCACGAAACGCACGTTGGAAATCAATCGATTCAGATAGGATTGCAAATAGCCTGGAGCTTCGTTGGCCGTGAATTCCGGACCACGGACAGAATCTGGTGAACTGTAATCCGCAACAGATGGTTCACAAGTGGACACGGAGTTTGCGCGCTTTACGGACTTTTTCAAAGCCAAAATACACTCGACTGTGTTTAGGGTGATCACAATGTTCTCTGAGTTCAGTTTAGTCCACGGGATGTGAATACGCAACTCGTGTACCTGGCCAGAACAAAAATGTAGTGGGTACGGCAAGAGATGATCCAAGGATTCACAACGAACTTCCAAATGAGTTAAGATTACATCACCGTCCCACAGAGAAGTCGCCACCTGATCGTTCCGCAGTTTCACGTATGTATTCAGATAGCTCATGACGAGCTTGCCAATATATGTTTCCGGTTTAAAGTAACGCTGCATGATGATTGTAACTTATGACTGAAAGATAAAGAAAGATGAAAGAAGGGATAAGAGATCAGCAAACATGTTTTCCAAACACGGGTCACAGTAAAATGAGTAACTGAATTTAAAGGTTCTTCTTGCAAGTATGGATAGTAAAGGAGTGGAATGTGTACAATAACCTGTAGATGCCCTTGAAATCAAGAAAGATATGAGAGAGAGAAAACTTGGAGAGGGGGAAAGGGTTGTTGTCAGCTGAGCTAAATCCAGAAATGCGTCGGGTGGAAACAAACCCAGAACACAGATAGTCGATCCTCTTTCCGTGCAACTTTCGTGAGAAAAAGCCACTGGGTGATGGTAACAGTGTTCGATGTCACCGGCATGGTTTGAACCCCGCCAACGCCACCCAAGTTGGATGGGAGGCAGTAATCCGGTTCAAATCCACGCCTAACCTAGTAGGGTCTTATGTGGTTCACCAAGCTAATGCCCGGGGCTTAGATTGCGTGTTTTCATCACTGAATAGCAGGTCAATGAGCTACGGGGTTCACCCTGTCTGCTCTTCATCAAATAGAAACTTGTGTAAGAATTTTTGTAATCAAAGATAAGTGGGCAAACAACTGTTTGATCAATTCATAACGCTCAGTAGGACGGTTTACGCGTCTGAAACATCGTTCTTAGACTCGAGCTGCATCAAAGTTTTCTTTACAAATCAATCCAATCATAGAAATGTTCAAGGATATCTAGTGGGAATAAAACTTCATGACCACTAGGATGCAATAAACAAAACCGGTAATAACCTAAGTTGGTTCTTAATTCAGAAAGAGAGGACTGTCAATAGTAAAGCGTCCTTAGAATCCTTAACTGCGGTCACTTACTATCTTATCATTTACTAACAACAATCAAGTGTCAGTCCTATCACCTAAACTGCCAGTTACAGATGGTTTATTATATGCTCTTTTGAATCTCATTTACGAACCCTAACTGTCAATAATCTGTATGCAACCCTCACCCCCTCCTTGACCACCCATTATGGGTCAGCGCATTATCATGAAAGCTGGAAACTGTTGCATAAGTTGTTCACAGAGCCCAATTAAACCTACTTCCAGTGTTTGCATGAATTTCTCAACCTGCAGTTTACGCCAGTAACAATAAGCATTGTTTTTTTAAATTAAAAATGAGATACTAGTTAGGTTAAGTACAATGCATTTTGCAAATAGCCAGTTTCTTGTTGCCCCAGGCAAACGCCTTACTTCCTAATCGAAATGAATAAGAGGTTCAACAACCATAAATCGAAATGCTTGCTCACAAACTTAGCTATTCACTTGCATTATTAGAATTTAGATTACATACTAGTTCAATTACACTGTATGTGATTACCAGCTCATCTTGATCCTTGTATCAAGAAGCGTGACGAAAACCAGTAATAAACCGAGGGAAAAAGTACATAGAGGGGAACCACGGACAAGCAAAAAAAGTAGACTGATGAATGGACTCACCTGCAAGTTATAAATACTCCGATAAGATCATGTTAGTCAAAAACCGGGACTAGGTATGAGAGAAGAGAAAAAAAGATTAGACAAGGATAAAATTTCTGCACATGATATGGTCAAACACAGCTAGTAAAAAATAAATCAAAAATGACCACCCGTGACCATTTTCCAACCGCTGTCTGCCTCGGAAAACATCGCTCGCCGTGGAAACCTATTTGGTGACATGCGTAACACATGCCCCAAACAGGATAGTCTTTAAAGGTCGATCACTTGCTACAGTGGACGACCGCGACTACCTAAAACTCTAAGCCATACCTCAGCATTGTTCATCCGGTTACCCCACCAGACTCGTGCAATGTTACGTAGACAGCGGTGTTCGAACACCGACAATCTATTTTTATCCTGTTCCCGTAGTGGCCAAGTCTCTCCAACGTAGAGTAGCACTGGCCGAACTCCTGCAGCATACACTCGACCCTTCACAGACAACCGGATGTCGCGACGGCGCCACAGATGTCTCAAGTTGGCAAATGCCAAACGAGCCTTCTGTATGCGCGCCGACACTTCATTCGTGATGCGTCCACTGGGTGAGATGTAGCTGCCCAAACAACAAAACTTATCCACTTGCTCTATTACTTCCCCAGTTAGAGTGAGTCTGGGTGCTGGACCAACCCGGTCTTGCAGCAACATTTCACACTTCGAAGGTGCAAAACGCATACCGAACATGGTTACGCTGGAGCTCAAGCTATCCAGAAAGCTTGTAACTTATCTGGATCTTCACTTAGCGGCACAATGTCGTCTGCATACTCTAGATCGGACAGTCTACCACCTGGGGGTAAATCGATGCCACTATCTCCTCGGACGAGGATAAGGCTGTTTCCATAATCAAATCTATAAAAAAGTTAAGTAGAAGCGGAGAGAGAGAGAGAGAGGGCAGCCCTGGCGAACATCAACTTTCGTGGTGAGCTCGGGTGAAAAAGTGCCATAAACTCGGACTCGTATTCGGTTATTATTATAAAGCGATTGTAACATTGAAATAAACTTCCCGGGTACACCCTTCAAAACGAGGCAGCGTCAGAGCGGTCGACTGAGTCGAAAGCCGCTTTCAGATTGAGGAAGATGGAAATGGTGGGCCTACGAAAGGAGTGTCTGTGTTCTAGAATTTGGCGAAGAGTGAAGATGTGGTCGATACAACCTCGACCAGGTCCAAAGCCAGCCTGGTTCTCACTTGTGCATTGTTCACGTGCGGCAGACAATCGACGGAGTATGATGTCAGTGAGAAGTTTAGAGACGATGTTGATTTAACTAATTCCTCTGTGGTTTTCACAATAGGACGTATCACCTTTCTTGTAAATCGGTATGATGACCGATTCACACCATTCAGTTAGAACCTCTTCCCTCTCCCACACTGGACTCGGGAGTTTCGTTAGCTCCGAAACCAAGGATGAGCCTCCATCCTTAAAACCGATGGGGATAGCCCTTCTGGGCCGGAGGCCTTATACCTTTAGAGGCAGCGTATTTCTCGGGGAACCTCCATTTCAGATCGAGGACTGACATCAACTGACAGTATTTGCACCGTTGTAGCGGGTAGGAGTAGGTATTGTGTCGACGGGAACCAGCTGAACTCTGCCTAAAATGTTCTGCCCAACGTTTAATTTGAATTGAATTTGAATCAATGTACCGTCAGACTCCTTAATTACCTCACTTACGCCTACTTCCTTTGGTCCCGTACTCCTAATTAAACAAAAACGATTGCGACTCTTACCGATAGCCGCAGTCTTCTCCATGCGTCTACACTTCTCGCGGTCATTCCTCAGACTCTCGATGAGTTTGCCTTTGAGGGATTTGCGCGCTTTGTTGTATTTTGAATTCGAAGGAATGGCTTTACGAGCGTCTAGCAGGGCAGCCGAGGTCGGGAGGTCCATCGTTTTTTTATTCGATCACGTTCCAGAATTTGCCGTTGTTTAGATCGCTTCTTTGATTGTCGTCCAGTGTTCACTCAGTCCTCTGGCTGATGATTAAGCTGAGAGGCAATCTAATAGTTCCGCTTTGAAGGCCGATTTGCAACCGTCGCTGATACTATTGTGGGCATCCGTTTTCGGTGGCTTATCTGCTTTTGTTTATCAGGCGTAGGGAGAATCTCGCTCGTAACAGAGCATAGTCCGTGTCGACGGATGTTAACCAGTAGAAGCCGTTGTCCTCAATGAATTCAAGCCGGCTGTGGCTGATGGCGATGTGGTCGATTTGTGTCCAGCGCTGTGAAGCGGTTGGCGGTCTCCAAGTAAGCCGGTGTCGTTTCCTGTGAGAGAAGTTGGGGCTTGACAGAAACATTCCGTGGTCAGCGCAAAGTTGGAGTAGGCGTTCTCCGTTGTCAGTCCGGTTAGCTGGGATTGCATGTGAACCACCAAGTAGCCTTTCTGATTCGTCCAGGGATCCCACTTGAGCATTGAAGTCTCCAGCGAGTAACACGATGTCCGTTGACCGAACACTTTGGAGCAGTTGGGAGAGGTCCTTGTAGAATTCATCCTCGATTTCAGGTGTACTGCAATCGGCTGATAGGTTCTGAAAACCAACCGCTAAGAGTACAAGGCACAACGAAGCTCGAAGTTTTCAAAAATGCTACAACGCCCGCGCCTTCAGTGGTTTGGCCATTTGCTCCGAAGGCCCGACACTCAACTTCGCGACATGCTGTAGCCCTCGCACCATGCCATGGATGGTGTTGCCGACTCGATGCTTAACTGAAGACCTGACATGATGTGATACACATATGATACATATGCTACACATGCCACCGAATAGGTTGCCAAGGCGAGCGATGTTTGCCGAGACAGGTAGCGGTTGGAAAAAGGTCAAGAGTGACCAAACGAAGACATGACATGAGCGTATGAAAACCAGGAGATTGGGTTACTTAGGCCCCGTTAGGCTTCCTGGCTGGGGACCTCGGGATGGTCGTAACCGATTGTTAGAGACACTGAGTGATATGGCTGGCTGTCGCAAACAGTGGCGCTGGTGCATCCACTCATTATTCTTGTAACACCACTCTAAATGATTTATCTATCTTCCGTTTGAATTTGCTTTCAACATTCCAATCCTCATCATCGTCATCATCATCATCTTTTTGGGGACCCTAATAGGAACCTTTGACTCAGACGTCTGACCCACAATGCAGTGGGGCGTAAATCCAACGCGAGAGCGTGAACGAAGCATCCGTGTGAGAGCTTCTAGAGACCTGTCACGCAAGACCTTGGGGTTTCGGTTCAGTTTGTTGTTCGCTGGTGCACTGATTGTCTTTCTGCTTTTCGGAAGGCCCTTAACCTTATGCACCCAATGAGACAAGCGGGACGTGGACGGGACAGCACCTTATTGGCTGGGGGCGGCCCCGCTTGGGGGGGTGGTAGCTGTCCAACGAAGTGCGAAGACTTCTCCCACCGTCGAGAGCAAGCCCCAGGCACCCCGCCCCTACGTCCATCTAGTGGTTTTTTNTATAGGCGGGTATGGATAGAAGAAGGAAGTCAGGAGGTGCCCAAGCAGCTG